GAGCAGTAACTTCGGAGTGTTTGCATTCCGTTTAGGATATCGGTGCCGCAAAATTTGCCGAGGTGGACACAGCCTTGCACTTCCGTCTAAGACCGTGGGGCTTCCTCGACGTCACTCGTGAGCACGTAGCTGGGGCATGTCGGCGAGCCTTTAATCAAATTCGCTGTTGCTCCAACCACTCATTATTTGCAGCATGCGTGGAGGGGGGGAGGAGGGAGGGAGGGCGTACCTTGATGCGGGTGGCCCGCGGGAGGTTGCGGTAGGTATGCCAGAGGCTCATGGTGGCGGTGGGGGTGTAAAGGGTGAGGTGGGCTTGCGTGTGCGTGGACGGTGGTGGTGGTGGTGGTGGTGGTGGTGGTGGTGGGTGGGTCAGCGGTGGGTTGGTCAGTGAGCGAATGACAGCGACAGACACCACTTCACGACCTTTTTCGGACGGCGAGGGGCCGGGCCGAGGGGACAACATGGCGGCCAACGAGGACCATGTGTCTGTGGTTGTACTTGGAGGACGAGCAACATTGCGGGTGTTTGCTGAGCCCGGGGCTGGTGAGCTGCCTACTCTCTACGACCTGCTGCCTGAGAGCATGCAGAGGGCGCTGGACGGCCCGCCGCAGGTCGGCACCAAGCGGCGTCGGCGCGACCTGGCCATGCAGCTAGCGGCTGCCGTGAAGGGTGGCGAAGGAGGCGGGACTGCCGAGGACCACGGCGGCGAAGCTGCCGAAGAAGAGAGTCCGGCCAGACGAAAGCGCCAGCGGCGCCTGGTGGACGATGAGAGCTCGCCCGAGTCGTCCATGGCCACACTCCCGTTTCCGCCTCTCTCGGACGACCGGCCGTCGCTGGACGACGCGCTCCGGTCGCCGTCACAGGACGATGTGGCGTCACAATCGCTGTTCTCGCCGGTCGCTGTGGCGGATGCGGGTCGGGTTGCGGATGAGTTTGAGGTTACCAAGTCGATGGCGTCGGCGCTGGCCAAGGTAGAGCTTGATGTCGGCCGCGATCCGCCGTCGTCGCAGGAGTCGGACGGCTGGTCGACGCAAACAATGCTGGCGTCGATGGCTGCGATGGCAAGTGGACCTGTCGAGGCGCGGGCGCGAATGACCTTGGAGGATGCTCCGTCTCCTGCACCTGTGTCTGCGCCTGCGGCGATGGGTGGTTTTGCTACAGCCGGTGGTCGAGCCGTGGAGGCGTCGCCCGCTGCCCTCGCCCGTGCCAAGGGCCTGATGGCCGGCATCGACGACGCGCCGACGTCACCCACACCCACTGCCGCTGCCGCTGGTTTCTCCACGGCCGGTGGTCGAGCCGTGGAGGCGTCGCCCGCTGCCCTCGCCCGCGCCAAGGGCCTGATGGCGGGTGTGGATGATGCGCCTCTGTCTGCGCCTGCGGCGATGGGTGGGTTTGCTACAGCCGGTGGTCGAGCCGTGGAGGCGTCGCCCGCTGCCCTCGCCCGTGCCAAGGGCCTGATGGCCGGCATCGACGACGCGCCGACGTCACCCACACCCACTGCCGCTGCCGCTGGTTTCTCCACGGCCGGTGGTCGAGCCGTGGAGGCGTCGCCCGCTGCCCTCGCCCGCGCCAAGGGCCTGATGGCGGGTGTGGATGATGCGCCTCTGTCTGCGCCTGCGGCGATGGGTGGGTTTGCTACAGCCGGTGGTCGAGCCGTGGAGGCGTCGCCCGCTGCCCTCGCCCGTGCCAAGGGCCTGATGGCCGGCATCGACGACGCGCCGACGTCACCCACGCCCGCTGCCACTGTCGCTGGATTCGCCACGGCTGGCGGCCGCTCGGTCAAGGCGTCGCCCGCTGCCTTCGCCCGTGCCAAGGGCCTGATGGCCGGCATCGACGACGCGCCGACGTCACCCACGCCCGCTGCCACTGTCGCTGGATTCGCCACGGCCGGCGGCCGCTCGGTCAAGGCGTCGCCTGCTGCCTTCGCCCGTGCCAAGGGCCTGATGGCCGGCATCGACGACGCGCCGACGTCACCCACGCCCACTGCCACTGTCGCAGGATTCGCCACGGCCGGCGGCCGCTCGGTCAAGGCGTCGCCTGCTGCCTTCGCCCGTGCCAAGGGCCTGATGGCCGGCATCGACGACGCGCCGACGTCACCCACGCCCACTGCCACTGTCGCTGGATTCGCCACAGCCGGCGGCCGCTCGGTCAAGGCGTCGCCCGCTGCCCTCGCCCGTGCCAAGGGCCTGATGGCCGGCATCGACGACGCGCCGACGTCACCCACGCCCACCGCCACTGTCGCTGGATTCGCCACGGCCGGCGGCCGCTCGGTCAAGGCGTCGCCCGCTGCCCTCGCCCGTGCCAAGGGCCTGATGGCCGGCATCGACGACGCGCCGACGTCACCCACGCCCACCGCCACTGTCGCTGGATTCGCCACGGCCGGCGGCCGCTCGGTCAAGGCGTCGCCTGCTGCCTTCGCCCGTGCCAAGGGCCTGATGGCCGGCATCGACGACGCGCCGACGTCACCCACGCCCACCGCCACTGTCGCTGGATTCGCCACGGCCGGCGGCCGCTCGGTCAAGGCGTCGCCTGCTGCCTTCGCCCGTGCCAAGGGCCTGATGGCCGGCATCGATGATGCGCCTGTGTCTGCGCCTGCGGCGATGGGTGGGTTTGCTACAGCCGGTGGTCGAGCCGTGGAGGCGTCGCCCGCTGCCCTCGCCCGTGCCAAGGGCCTGATGGCCGGCATCGACGACGCGCCGACGTCACCCACGCCCACCGCCGCTGCCGCTGGTTTCTCCACGGCTGGCGGCCGCTCGGTCAAGGCGTCGCCTGCTGCCCTCGCCCGCGCCAAGGGCCTGATGGCGGGTGTGGATGATGCGCCTCTGTCTGCGCCTGCGGCGATGGGTGGGTTTGCTACAGCCGGTGGTCGAGCCGTGGAGGCGTCGCCCGCTGCCCTCGCCCGTGCCAAGGGCCTGATGGCCGGCATCGACGACGCGCCGACGTCACCCACGCCCACTGCCACTGTCGCTGGATTCGCCACGGCCGGCGGCCGCTCGGTCAAGGCGTCGCCCGCTGCCTTCGCCCGTGCCAAGGGCCTGATGGCCGGCATCGACGACGCGCCGACGTCACCCACGCCCGCTGCCACTGTCGCTGGATTCGCCACGGCCGGCGGCCGCTCGGTCAAGGCGTCGCCTGCTGCTCTCGCCCGCGCCAAGGGCCTGATGGCCGGCATCGACAGTACCCCGGCAACGGCGGCCCCTGTCGGCAGCTCTCCATCCAACATCGTCTCACCGCCCGAGTCGGAGACCCCACAACTGACCCGCCCGGGGCTCTCCAAGCTCGGCCTCTTTTCGCCATCGACGATTTCGCCGTACGCGGCGTCGCATCGTGCGTCGCGGTCGAGTGCCAAGCAGACCGCACGCGATCGCGCCCTCGCACGTTTTGTGCGCACCAATTCTTCTGAGGGCCTCTCATCGGGCGAGCCGGCTGAGCCCGAGTCTGACTCGCTCGCCGTCGTCCTCTTCCCGGACCTCCCGCGCTCGCCGCTTACCACGGAGCCGCGCGCTGCCACCGACGCCCGCCGTTCCGCCACGACGTCGACGCTCCCAGGCCCAATCAAGACCAAACCGCGGATCAAGCGGCCCAAGCCGGTGAAGCACAAGTTTGTCAAACCACCGCCGCCGCGCCCGTCGCTTTCAGCCAAGCCTAAGCCCAAGGACGCCAGCGGCGGCATCGCCTCGGTCTACGACCTGGAGGCCCACGCAGCAGCCGTCACCCATACCCTCGCCGATCTCCCCCACCGTTCACCGAGTCGGGCCCGCTCCCACCGGGCGTCGCGGCCATGACCTTTGCCCTCGCTCCGCTGTACCAGTTCCCCGAGACCCGCGCCGCCGGCCAGCAGCCGGTCGACATGCTCTACGACGCACTGATTTCCCGCGGTGCGGTCGCCAAGCTGTTCTCCCCCGAGTGGGTCGCCAACCACGCCCGCCTCATCATCTGGAAGCTCGCCGCGCTCTGCCGCGCCTTCCCAATCTCGCTCGGCGAGTCGTACTTTACCTACGAACGCGTTGTCAACCAACTCGCCTTTCGCTACGAGAAGGAGATCAACTCGGCCCAGCGCTCGGCCTTCAAGCGCATTCTCGAGCAGGACGACACTTCAACCCGTACCATGGTCGTCGTCATCACTTCGGTCATCTCGGTCCCGAGCCTGCCGTCGCCGCGAAAACTCGCTCCCTCGCGCAACGCTGCCATCGCCGCCCACTATGGTGCCGACCTTGATGGACGCCGTGCGCCGGGCTCCGGCTCGGGCGACGACGAGAGCGGCGAGGAGGCCGACACCGACATCTACGCCGACACAGACGCGCTGCTCGCCTTTCTCGCCGCCCGCCCGGGTGCCATTCAAATCTCCGATGGCTGGTACACCCTCGCTGCCTCGCTCGACCCGGGACTCACGCTCCGCCTCATCCGCGGCCAGCTCTACCCAGGCCTCAAGCTCTGCATGTCCGGATGTGCCCTCATTGGCGCCGACCAGGCGTGCTCCCCGCTTGAGGCCCCGCCGTCGGCTGCCTACCGCCTCACCACCAACTCGGTCCGCCGCGCCCGCTGGGACGCCACTCTCGGTATCCACCCTGTTCCGGCCATGACCATCCCACTGGCATCCATTACGGCCGACGGCGGCCGCGTCCCTGCCACCGAGTTTGTCGTCCTTCGCGTCTACCCGGTGGTCTACCGCGAGAAGATCCTCGACCCATCCGTCCCGCTCCCGCCGCACCCGGTCTCCGGCGATGACGACGATGCCGACGCCGACAAGCCCGACCTGCCGACCATCTCCATCACACGCGGGCCCAAGGCTGAAGCCCGGATTGATCGTCGCTTTGCGCTCCGTCGCGAGCGGAGGACCGAGGAGCTCGTGGCGGTCGAGCAAGCGGTGCGCGACCCGCGGTCGGCGTCGTCGACTCCGGTCCGCGCCGGATCAGCCTCCAACTTCCGGACCCCGACCCGCAAGCCCGACCCGAGCATCCTTGATGGCCGCGTCCTGCTCCATGCCATGCACGCCTCGCCCGATCCGGCCGCCTTCTTCGCCGCCCTCTCCCCTGTCCAGCGGTCCAGCGTCGAGGCCTCGATATCCGGTGAGCGTGAGGAGACCCAGCGCGCAGTCATGACAGTGGTCGAGAAGAAGCTCACTGCCGAGCGCCTTTTCTCACGCGACGTCACTCCAGTCCTTCGTCTCCTTGTCGCCGACGCCCGCAAGTACGCCGCCGGCGTTGTCTCAGACCCCGAGCTTGCACAGCCTTACCTTCCGTGCGCGCCCGACGATGCGCTTGCAGTCATCTCGGTCTGGGGGCCGACAGACGACATCCTCGGCACCGTCGCCCGAGAAGGCGCGCATGTCCGCGCTTACGGCCTCTCGCCGTCGCGGCCATACCACCGTACTCCGCTAGCCACGCGGCTGCCGAATCTCAACTGGAATCGGTCGACCCGGTTCGAGGTCCTCGGCTCACTTGCCGACTCGCCGCGCTTTGTCCCGCGCGTTGCGGCTGTGCCCGCTGCCTTTCATGACGCGCCACCGGCCCATCTCCAGCGTGGCGAGGCGCGGACCGAGATCCCGGCCGATCTCGTCGGCGTCGTTGTCGGAGTCCAGCGCCTCGCTCCGCGCGGTGAATCGGCTTCTCGGCTAGAGTTTGCCGCGCTCGGTGCACCGGCCCCGCCGCCGGCCTCGCCGTCCAAGTCGGCCACCGGCGGAACCGACTCGTACCATCTGTACTTTGCCACCGTCACCGGCGCGCTGGTCCTTGTCCAGTGCTACGGCTCGCACGATGCCTACGCCTTTGACGAACTCCGTGACGTCGCCGCATCCGGGCCGCGCCGCGGCGGCACACCGTACGTCGTCCGCAACGCCGTCTTTGTCGCCCACGATCCGTCGTTCAACCTTACCATCTTTGAGGCGACCCAGGTGACAACAGTCTCTAAGACCGTGCCGGCTGCCTACCGCCCTGCTACCGCCGCCCTCACGGCCTGGATCGCCTCGACTGGCTTTGAGGCCTCAGTCGGCGTCGCCCGCCGTCGGGTCACCACCATCGTCCGCACCGGCGCTCCGCCCATCTCGCTCTCCGGCAAGCTCTCCGCCATCAACTGGTTGTTTGCCGACAACGCGCCCGGCATCGCGGTCGCCGGCACTTGGGTCGGCATCGCCGGCGACGTCCTGCACTCATGGCTTGCCGGCCTTCTCGCCCTTGGCCTCGCCGATGCTCTCGATTGGACTCCACCGTCAGTTGCCGCCGCCGCCGCCGCCGCCGCCGCTCCGCGCCC